TCCAGCACCCCGTCTATCGCGATCTGAGAGTTACCTCCGCAGAGGGACAAAACCCCCCTTTGCCAAAGGGACTTCAGCTCCGCACCCCTCCTCCTCGGCTCCATCTCCGCCGTCACCCCCGGTCTCACCAGAGTCTTCACCCCCCCAAAAGCCGGGGCTGGAGCGGCTGCCGGGAGCCCGAGGGCCGCGTTTCCCCCCCTGCTCGGGCCGGGATGATTGCTGGTTTCACGGCTGAGATTTTGATCCCGTCCTATCCCCTTTTTCCATCTACCAAAGAAACGCTGCGCCTTCACCCCAGACCTGCCTCAGGTCCAAACTGTGATTCAGCCTTCGCTGAGAGGAGATGTACAGCAAAACTTTTTCCTCCGTGACTCCGCAGCAGCGAGCTCTCTCGGAGCTCATTCTGAAACCCCAGCAGACAGCTGCATTTTAACGACACAAAGCATCCCCTGAATGTAACAGTGGAGTGAGATCACGGTGGAAAAAAATCAGACAATACGAAACAATTGATTCAAGGGTGAAATAAACATCTATCCTTTTCATTTTTCATTTTAAACACATAAATCATCTATTGTAGGCGTCGTTTAAATATAATACATTCAATTTAAACGCGAGTGCAACAAAAATATAAAAAGCACTCTTGGAATCAAATTAGAAACCGATTTCTTTTGCAAGGGGAATGGCACGAGAGCTGCTTTGAATCTTTATAATCACTTTCGTTTGTTTTATGCAAAAAAGGAGATAGCAAGTTTCAGAGAACATTTGTAACCTGAAAGTTTTTCTTTTTGAATATCTCAGCATCAGCAAAGTCGGCAGAATAAATGAATAAATAGGCACGCAGCTTTGGAAATAATTTTCTTCTTATTCTTTGAGCTGAAGGACGAGAGCTGTTGTTGGCTAAACCTCACGATTTCTCTTGGGGGGACTTAAAAGAGGAGGGGAGGTTGATGCCATGGCTGTCTGAGTTGCAGTTTCGTAACAAATGTTACCCCAACGTGTTGCATCAGCCAAACCTACCAACCAAAGGACGTGTTTATGCCTTTCAAAGTGAACTTTTGGCCTGGGGAAGAAAAAAAAAAGAGCCCTCCTGGTTCTTCTTAGAGGCTGAATAACTAGTAAATATCCTGACAAGTAACAAATGACTGTGGGCGTCATATTGTTGGGTGCTCTTGTTTCCCTTCTGCTAACAAGTAAATAAATGTTGCCTACCTATGTTTCCATTCTCTGAGCAGTGGAGTGGCCAGCCTGAAGTCAGCGTCTTTCCACCTACTCATCAGCTGGACTCTGCTAGGGGTAAGCTCCAGTCTGACAAGCAGGTTCGGGGAAAGATAAAACCACGTTTGCCGTGGAAAAGCAGAGCTGAAAGGTCCAACGTTGGTTAAAGCCCCTAAAACCTCCACTTTTTTCCGTAGTAAATGTGTAGGTGCGTGGGTGAGTGGATGGATAGGAAGGTACGTAGATAGACACATGGGTCATTTTTGGTTCCTTTGCTCTAATTGCTAAGCTGGGCATGGTATTTCTCCAACGAAAGACATTCTATCTTCCTAACTTTATTTCATGGCCTCATTAGAATAATGATTTAATTATTTTGCTTTTACCCACACTGGCTCTAGACACAAAGCCAGTGTGGCAAAATTAAAACACACAGAGCGTATTTTTCTTGGGAGCTTTTTATTAAGCTCCTCAGCCCAGAAAACACCAAACGTGTTCAAGCCAGTTTCTAGGGAAAATTTTCAAAATGAAGAGAAGAGCATCCTTTTGTGCCTGCGTGGAAGAGCAGTCAGACCTCCCTACCTCTCTTCCCTCTGTCTTTCTTCTTCTCACATGGAGCTGGGGTTGGGGAAAACCTTTTAAAGTTGGGGCAAGGGGAAGTTCTGCTGAAATTGGCTAATCGCATAACTTGGGGGCCTTTTTAGCACTTAAAACAGTCTTTGATAATTGTAATTCTTCCCCCAGCCCCTCTGCCCCTCCACCTCCCCGCACCCCACCTCCCTCCTCTCTTTTAAAGTCTTTGAGGAAAGATTTTGACGTATTCGTGTTGTTATCAGATTGATGGGCAGGGTTTGATTGAAACCCCTTTGTCATGCAAATGTCAGGGCCTTGATGGATGAGCTCAGAGCAGGGCGGACCACGTGGCCGCCTCCCCCTGTCCCCCCCCGTCCGTCCCCCCCGAAGGCTGCGGGGTTCGAGGGCCAGCGATGCATGGAAGGAAGTTTTACAGCTTTGACATACTATCTAAAGGTTGTAGGGCAGGCGGAATCCCCCCCAAAACAGGCTGACCCTCCTCCATCAGTGGCAGATGGACAATACTAGGATGAACTCCTTCTTAGAGTATGCAATTTGTAACCGTGGGACGGGTTCCTACCACCATTTAGAGCACAGCTCCCCTTCCTTCCCCTCCTGCTCAGGTAGCCCCGCCAGTGACACTTTTCCGCCAGCGCGGGATCCAACCTCGGGTCTCTAGCAGAGAGCTACTGCGGGGCGGTGGCCGGGCAGTACCAGCAACAACACCTTTACGGGCAGGAGCAGCCCAGCTACTTGCCCGGCGTTTACAGCAACCTCTCGCCTTCTTTAAACGAGGACAAAGAGCCCGCCTGTCCCTCCGAGCCGTGCCCCGGCGCCGCGCAGACCTTCGACTGGATGAAGGTGAAGAGGAACCCACCCAAGACAGGTGAGTTTGGGGGACGCGGAGCTGGGCGAAGGTGGTACCGGGCCGGGGGAGGAGGGTGGTGGCGGGCAGCCCCCCAGCCCTGCAAGGCAAGGTGGCCTTGCCCCGGGTTTGGACCCAAAGTCAACTGGGTTCCTCTTCCAGGAGAACACGGGTTTGGTTTGCTTTGGGGTTTTTTTGGAGGGGAGTTTTTTAAACACCAGCTCAGCGCTGCGGAAAAGTCAGCTAGATATTTTCCAGACGCATCAGATGGAGGGTCCCTGAACTCAGTTTCCCCCAGGCCCAACACGATTTGAGCCCAGCTCAGAGTAGGAAATGCTCCGAGCTTCCTGCTTCTTCCACAGTCGTGGTTTCCATCTCCCCTATTGTTCAACTTCCTTCGCCACAATCTCTTCCTTAAATCACAATCTTCCCTCCTCCCCCCATCACCACCCTCACCCTCCCCTTCCACTCCTTCCCACGCACGTTCAAGTTTCATGGCAGTTCGCAGGGAGCTGGGGGGAATGGTTGCAAGGGAAGGGGGGTTGCTGTGGAGAGCCCGGGGTGGTCTGTCCCTCCAGGTTGCATCCCTGGGCTGGGAAGTCAGGGATAGCTGAGGATCCGGGAGGGTGCACGAAGCTCCGGCTGGTGGTGGGACCAAACGCCCAGGAGAGGAGGGGAGCGGGGAGGGGGGAAGCCTTACCCCCAGCCTCCCCCCCCAACGAGGGAATTGCTCTGGCTGCTCCTGGTTGTTGTTTGCTCTTTAACAGCGAAAGTGTCGGAGTACGGCCTGCTGGGCCAGCCCAACCCCATCCGCACCAACTTCACCACCAAGCAGCTGACGGAGCTGGAGAAGGAGTTTCACTTTAACAAGTACCTCACCCGGGCCCGGAGGGTGGAGATCGCCGCTACCCTGGAGCTCAACGAAACCCAGGTCAAGATCTGGTTCCAGAACAGGCGGATGAAGCAGAAGAAGAGGGAGAAGGAAGGTCTCGCCCCGGCCGCTGCTTCCAGGTCTGCGAAGGAAGCGAACGAAGCCTCGGATCAGTCCAACTGCACCTCCCCCGAGGCCTCCCCCAGCTCGGGGTCCTCCTGAAACGCGGTCCCGCGGGGCTCAGGGACCAGCCCGGGGCTGTCCCCGAGGGGCGGCTGCTCCCTGCAGACCCCGGCAGACACGCACGT